AAGCTGGAATGTGATTCTGATATTACACTCAACATCAGAAGTGTTTCTAGTCCAGTTTATCGCCACAGCAAACTATAACCTCAATATTAACCCCTTGAACCTTAGACGGCCCTGCACCATGTATAAAAATGCAACTTTTGAAGTCTGTAAGTGTGACACATTCATGGAAGAGGCCATCTGCTGGTGATCTGATTAAAACAGATGCAGCATTTATTTTGGCAGATTGTAGTTGAGAAATTCCAGCACAGGTTCAGTAACAGCGCTGTGTACCCGCCCAGTTGAAACCAGAAGTTTACATACACGTTATAAAAAGACACTCAGTGTCTGACATTAAACCAGACTAAACTTTTCCTGTTACAGGACAGTTAGGATTACCAACATTATTTCTATTTGCTACACAATGTGTGTAAACTGAACACGCATGTACACTCTAAAAAGTAACTCAAGGAACCCAGTCCCACCACGTACTTATTTGCATTGTTGCACGAAAACACAACTAATTTACTGATTTATATTCAGTATTGAGGGCTGCAAGGTGTCTCGGTGCTCAGCACTGTTGCCTCCAGTGTGGTCTTTTTCAACAAAGAAGTGTTTGTGGTGAAATAAAAATGCTAAAAGTCACCTCAGAATCATGAACAAACCCTGATTTGACCACTCATAAGTTACTTAAGGCCCGATCATTTATTGGTACCCTAACTTGAGCAGGTGTTTTACAGGGTTTCCCACGAGAGTTGAACTTGATCCAGTAACCTCATCTCATCAAGTCACCAGGTTGAGACTGGACTTACTTGATGAGATCAAGTCTGAGTCTGGTGTGCTGCTGCTTGGTTGGAAAGAAAACCAGCAACCACACGGCCCTTTCTGGAATCACTTTGAAATGTAACAAAAGGTGGAATATCTATGAGCAACTTCTAATTTTAGTAATTACAATAATGACAAAAATATTGCCAAATAAACTAAACACTAACTAAACTAACTAAACACACTTTATTTCACTTCATGGCAGTTTTATCTAAAGTGTCACTGGGTCGCTCAGGCCGGGCTTTGCTCTGGTGGCCAGTGGACTGTACTCACTTCTGGCTGTCGATTTTCCCACCTGCACAGGGCACAGCGCCGTCTTGTGGCATAATTGTTAATTGTCAGTTGTCAGTTTTCCACTTGGCTACAATTGCTTTGGAGAAATGCGTTTATCACCAAAGGAGAACCAGTTTGGCGCCGCTTCAACAGTGTTTATAGTGTTTTAGTTGTACTTACGTTCATGAAGGGGGAAGTTTAGGCTGCCGTGTACTTTATTTATAAGTATTCATGTTCTTAACCGAATGATGTGGCGAGGGGTGTTGAAAAAGCCTCATTGTTTGTCCTGTCCGGGTGTTGCTACTAGCTAGCTACACGTACAGCCATGTTAATGCTCCTTTTTCACCCAGTTACAGCAGAACAAGCGGCAAAAGTCACATCCTTACTTTTAGACAGCAGTGGCTCTGTTATGTAAGTTACTGTTCTTACCTTTTTCTGATACTCTGGACATTTGCTTTCCCCCCATACGATGGACAAATTAGCTTAGAGGGAGCACTGAGCGACCCGCTGCGAAAGACATTTCAAGACAAGCCTCACACTCATTTGCCAATTTGTAAAAGCTTTTTACTACAATTTGTTGAGAATACAACGAAACTTTGGCTGGTCACATCCAGTTACACTGTCCCAAAGACCCTTAAATACTGTTAAATAATTCAATAATTTCTCAGGTCCAGCTTCTATTCTATTCTAAATTCGTTACACCGACCAATTATGCTAAAGAGGCTAAAGGTTCGCTATCACACAATTTGAGCTAGCTGGGGAAAATACAAAATAATTATATTTCACTGCTTTTTTTCCTCCATATTTTGATTTCATTGGACCACCCATTCATCAGTTAGCTATACCTGCTTTCCGGCTTTTTTTGAGGAGGGCTGGAGCCTATTTAGCTTGTGTTGTCACCAGTTGAGCAACCATGTCTGTGGACGGGGGGGGAGCCAGAGCCCCTGGAGAAATCCCGCTAAGACCCACGGACAACATATCAACTCCACACGGGAAGGTTCTATCGCTGAAATCATGGAAATCTATGTTATTTCTCGTTCTCAAACCCTCAATATTATCTAGCGGTGTGTTTGTTTTTGGTTAATTACAGGGCAAAAAGCAAATGTTTTGTTTACTCGTGTCTCCTCGCCGCTGGCATATACCTATGGCCGCTGGATTGTAGTGGAACTAAAGTACTGAGCGTCTGTCGTCGAACACGGAAGGAATAAGCAGCGGACCGACCAACTCAATGTCGTGCGACTGACCCTGGACTAAATATAACTTTATATTATGAGGGTTTCATCCTGAAACAAAGGTAAATATAAGTTCTGCATTACAGAAATATGGGTTAATATCGCTAGTGTGAAGTGAAACGCTTCAGCTGTTCACTCAGAGACGTTTTGTTTGTCCTCCTGTCAGCCGTTAGCTCGTCTGTTCAGTGTTCAGCAGCGTAACATTTACTCATCAATGTTCTTCTACTGCCATTTATTTACCTTTCTGACTTAAACGTGTCATAGGCTTTCAGAGACACTTTCAAATGTCAGTGAGGAGTTTGAGAAGGTGCAGATACACCAGTAAGAACAGGCGGGGTGAACTGCTCAGGTGTTGAGCCTAAAACTGGTTGCACGCTGTTTGTTAAAGCTGTATTTACTAGTTTCTATATTTCTGCATTTGATACGTGCATAAAGGCCCCTCACAGAACTTTATGTGCGTGGTGACACCAAAGGTTTGTCTTTGTGGAACTTGAACGTTTCTGGTCACTGATTAATTGTGACCAAAAAAAACTATAGCTGACATTTAGGATGATTATAGACAACACTATAGTATTGTTTCCAGTTGTTAGGTTGTATGTGTTTGGAATGGGTTGTATCCTTGTTTAGACTGTAATCAGCATGATTTAGGTGCTGGGTTATATATGCAGAATTTTTTTAAAAATTAAAAAAAAAGGTTTTGCATTATCATATAGGGTAAAATCTCTTTAAAACATTACCATCGTGAATTTAATCAAGTATTTTTAATGCTTTCAGATGTTAATGGAATGGAAAATTGCATTATATGAGTACTTCTCATTTGGAGTTGTTTCATCCAGTAAAAACAACTGAAGTGGTTATGATTCACAAAACAGATCAGGGGAAGTATTGCAGATACATAAGCATAATCCCTCCTGTGTGCAGCAATCCGTTTTTGGGGAATGATCAGTTCTTGTCCATACCTCTTGTTAAGTGTCTGACCTCAGACCTCTGTGTTGATTTAAAAAAATAAATGTTTTTCAGAGGTTCAGAGTTCTCCTGCTTCTTCTATTCATAGGTTTCTTGTGGAAGATTAAAATTTTTTGCATATCTTTATAAATTTGTCTATTTGCATGTTATTTTTATTATGATGACGATAATTTCCCCAATGTCCAATTAATTGTTTGTTAATTTATATTTTGCCATTTACAGTACTAAAATGTATGGAAAATCAAAACTTTATCTGCCATCTTCATTTAATTCTGCTTTAAAAAATGCTTGAATTTCACTGGCATCAGCAATAAATTTAAATGATTAGCGCAAGTTTATATATGTTTATTAAAGATGAATCAAGAAAATTAACGAGAAATATATCTGTAATTGAAAACTACAATTAGTTGTGTCTCTTTACATTTTCTTTTTTAATGTGAGCTTTAAGTAAATTATTTCCTAATTGTTAGTGAATTTGCCTTTATTGTGTGTTCGCTCTGCTCAACCAGACCTTTTTCTTTTTTCATCAGATGCTCTCTGTTGTATTTAGAAGAAGCCCCTTTGCAGCTCAGAAGGTAACACAAATGTGATTTCAGAGCTTCAAACAAATCATTGCTCATATTTTTGTAATCATTTATAATTAGAAAGCTAAGACATATTTTAAAAGTCATTATGAATGTCTTTTTAGTTGTTGCACTGGGCAGGTCCTCCACGAAGATGCTGGACATCAGCCCTGACCAGAGCCTCAGATGGTGGATCTGTCTCCTCCTGCTGGTCTTCATTAACCAAGCTCCTGTCTACAAAAAGGGACACTGGACAAGTGAAACCTCTAGCTGTCCTTGGGTTCAGGAAGACTGAGCTCCTCCAGCCAACACAGACTCATAATGCTTCATTTCCAGTGAGGAACCAACATTTCCACTCTTCTGCTGTGAGGCTGAAGAAGCGACCTTTGCCTAAACCTAGTCCCAGAGAGCTGGATCTGCTGCGCTATGACATGAAGCACTTGTGGGAAGGTCCCAACCCTGCCCTCTATTTGGGGTTTGCGGGGCTGATCCCCTTCGTCTGCCCCACTCTGCTTATGGCTATGACTGAGACCTACTACCCAGAGTTAGCTTACGCCCAGGTAGCCTACGCCGCATCCATAATTTCTTTCCTGGGCGGAGCTCGTTGGGGATTTGCACTTCCTGAGGGCAGCCCAGCCAAACCTGACTGGGTCAACCTGGCCAGCAGCGTGGTTCCCCCCCTGTTAGCCTGGGCGACCATGCTGATGAGCGACAACATTGTTCCTGCAACCACCATGGTTATCATGGGACTTGGAATATCACTGCATTATGATCTGTCTCTGCTTCCCACTTATCCCAGCTGGTTGAAAGCCCTGCGTGCCGTCCTGACCACTGTGGCATTTTTTTCTCTATTTGGTACACTCGTGATGAACGGTTTTTACCCAGAAAAGACATTCTTTTCAGATTGAAAAGAGATTTTTATGTTGCACCATATCTACATTTGGGTGATCCAACTTAAAGATTTTTCTTGATATTAATCCTATTAACTGTCTTAATCAGAGGTCTGTCGGATTGAATGTCTTTGTTGGGAGTAACTGTTTGTACATCATTCTGTACAAATAAAACATTTCATCAGCACCTAACTTTTATAACCAAGCTATTCCGTGATGTTCCTCTTGTTCTCTGTGAGTTAGAGAAACACGTTTTATGTTCCACACCAAGCCATTACATCTAGATACCACAACTGAGAGGAAATAAGTATTTATCTGTTATTTTATTACTACCACTAGAAGCCTCAAAGTCAAAGCTTTTTATTTCCTGTACAGTAAAAGGAAAATAATAAAATAGACTGAAAATATAACTAGTTCATACGTAGTGTATATCTAAAAGATGCACTTACACTGTTCTTCATTCATTCTTTATTTTGAACATATTTTTAAAAAAAATTAGAGAAATAAAAAAAAAAGAATATATATTAATATTTCAACAAGAGATTATTATTGCTATTCCTTCTTGTCCAATCCCAATCTCCACACTCACTATAGAGTGTGTATTTTAAAAATGCCAATCGTAGACTTCAGAGGGAAATCATGCAAAATGCTAAGGATTTAGGCCTGACTCCATCAAATCAGGCATGAGGGCTCTGATTTGGACTTTTTGATGCTACCTTGCAGCCTTTCTGTGAGTCGCATCTGCAAACTTTCCTGAGGGACTTACCCAGTTCAGAGTTAAGTTCATAAAATAGGTAATGGACATAGTTTTCCCCTCTTCCAGAGAATGTAACCAAATCCACCATGAAAGGAGTAGGAAATGAATCCGCAAAGTTCATCTACAGCATGTGGCTGCTCACTGTTGTGTTTTTTTTTTTTATAGCACATTTTGAGTTGTTTGTATTTTCAGTGAAATGTAGGATTCACGGGTGTTCTTGGCTTTCCTGACTTTTGGTAGTTTACTATGATGTATAAACACGAATGTCACAGAGTAATCAAGTCAGTGTGTCCCATTCCTCCTTTTTGTACCATTTGAAACCCTCAGTCTCACACACTCAGACTGCAACATCAGTTAAGTCTGTGTGGGGTTGATGCTTAGGTTTTATGGTGGAGATTGGGATTGTGCCACTGAACAGAGTAGACTCAGAGGTATACCTGTGGTTCTCTTCCAGAAACGATAAAGGGCAGCAAAAGCCCAGTTGCATTTAAAGCGACAGACACGAAAACAGCCGTTTGGAACAGGACTAAAACCAGGGGTATTATAGGTGTGACAGAATGAACAATTTGTTCACATGTCCACAAAATATGTATTTTAACAGATTTATAAAAAGAGGTAGAATACTACCCCTTTAAACAATTATTCGTTTGTCCAGACTTAAAGGTTATGAGCTGTTAAATGGCAATAGCATAGCTGTAAGGCAATTATTTTCTCTTTGTACCATAAATTAGCAGATCTACTATTACTGTCCTTATACGTGTCTGGGATCAGACAGCTAAAATGAGGAGTACTGACATCACAGGAGGAAAGGGCATTACATAAGATCTAAACGAGAGTAATCTGTACTTAAAGCTTCAGGGCTCAACTGCACACCATCAAACGACACACAAGGCTCCAGTGAAAGCGTGTACTCAGTTTCACATGCATGTGAGTCGTCTCTGCCATGCTACTTAAAAGACAAACATCAAAAATTATTCATTTTAAAATTTCAGTGAACATAAATACACTTAATTATTCTCACATTTGTATTCAAATGTTTTTTTTATTAATGTAAACACCAGCATCTATGAACCAAATATTGGAAAGAAAGGCAAGAGAAAAGGGACAGTGCACAAGTCCACAGACATCTGGGGGAAAAAAACACATAAGGCACATTTCTTATCTGTTCACCAACCTCACTGAAGAGGTGCAATGATGTCCTATACAAAAAAAAAAAAGCTGTGAAACATTCAGGTGAAATCCATTCCCAAAACACAAACCCATGTCAAACAAACAGAATGTGAATGACCAATGTGTGAATATAGTATTGCACTTTTAAAGTTTCCTCAGATTTCTTAACGAAACAGCTCCCCTTCTCACAACAGAGACATCTTACACATTTGGAAGATTGTGTAAAGCTGTGAAACACTGTGGCTTTCTAAATTTTTGGTTTGATTATTTTTGACAACGGTAGAAATAGCAAAAAAAAAAAAAGAGCAGATATGTAGTAAATGATATGTTGGACTTCATATCAGGATCAACATTGGTACAATAAGGTGCAAATATTAGAGGAGCGTGTGACACATTACAAGATCCTGATAACAAAACAATGGCATTTCTACTTAAACCAACAAGTAAGCCAAACAAAAACTAACCTCTCTAAGTGTTTTGGTTTTCAACACTTAAAGTCAGTTGACTCAAAGTGTGCCAGAGACTGGCAGAGCACTTAAAGCTGTGGGTGCATCGTAAACAGAGCCTGGACAACAATATGCATTTGAAAAAAGACGTCATTATTCCTCGTCTTTGTGCTGCTGATGCTTCTAAACACACTCTTACTGATAGTGGCTCAGTGGTTTAGCCAAGTCCTGCAAACACATCAGCAGCAGTTTGAATCCAGACTTTGGTGACCTACAGGTAAACAACATCCTCATATGCCAGTCAAAAGAAGGGAAGTGTTTTGAAATTTTAAAAGAAAAAAAAAAAAAAAAGATTGCTGCACATCTTCTTAGACTCTCAGGGAAACATGCCGATGAACGACTCTGCTGCCTACTTCTGAATACCCAGACCCGAACGCATGTACTCATACACCACGTAGCTGATGCTGACAGCTGGTATGACCTTCATGAAATTGGGCAGGATGCCACGGTAAAGTCCAAAGAAGCCCTCCTTTTCCAGGATCTTCTTCACCATCAGATTCATCGGCAGCTGCTCTGAGCCCTCGATAGAAGCTGAGAAAACAGACGATTAAAGAAAGTCAGGTTTGTGACATTTCTGGGTTTTTGTCATGTTTAACCTCTAAAGACCCGAGCTCTTGTTTGATATGCATATGTTGAAATAAAAAAATATTTAAAACCACATATATATAATAACAACAATAATATAATAATTTTTAAAAAATAACTTCTGTAGTAATATAACTCAAAATGTGAGGTCTTAAGAGGTTCAGTTACCAGGACATGAACACATTTTATGTTTTTGGCTCCTTACAGCAGGATACTTTGTTTGAAATCAAACAATACCAGCAATTAAGGAGCTGTCTTTTCAGCTGCAAAAGGTTTCTAGATTTTTTACACATATCGCCCCAAATATGGCTACTTTTGTTCCTGTATTTTCAAGTAACAATTTTTATCCCTTCAGAATAAACCTGAAAATCAGCTTTTATTTTTTGTTTTATTTCAAATCCAGTGTTTGAGCCAACACAAGAAAAATGACTCTGTACCAGATGGACTTTGTAATAATTTGTCACAAAGAAAATATTTGCACTGACATTCATGAGCCTTCTTTTAAACTTATTTTGTGTACCATAGTAAAAGACATAGCCTGAACAATCAGAAGAAAATATATATTTCAGCATCTGAGTTAATCTCATGTTTATATGGTATTTAAAGCTATAAACAAGAGTCTGGGACCACAAGCAAAATGCCATAATTTGTACATCAATAGATTGTTTCTTTGTATTGTTTTAATAAGGGTGGGTTAACTGTACCTTGTGCCTGCATCCGGGTGCGGATCAGAGCCAGTGGATAGCTGGCCAGCTGGCCACAGGTGCTGGAGATGGTCCCACAGCCCAGCAGCACCAGAACACCGGGGTTGGCGGTGTCTTTGGCATAGTGGGACAACCAGAAGTTCTTCAAGCTCTGGGGAAGAAGAGTGTTGGTTGCATTATATTTGACAAAATCTACGTATAAGTAACATTTATATTGATGAAGATGGTGCTGGCTTTGAAAGAGTAGTGCTTTATCTAAATCAGAGTCTATCTATTCCAGAGGATTCATCAGTACGTACCTCGTACACAGCCAGATCTATCCCTGCATACGGGATGATGCCCAGAATATTGGGAATGTAGCCCTTGTAAAATGCCTTCACGCCCTCCTTCTTCAGGATTGTCTTGGCACAGTCAAACATTCCTGAGTACTGTCCAGTTTTCCTCAGGGTCAGACGGGTTTTCATCACCTGAACACACAAACATTATCAGTCAGGCTGTTTTACAGCAGGCAGATATTCTAGTAACACATTTTGCAGGCAGCAGTTGTTACTTAACAGTGAAGTTTACAGTCTGGGCAGTGGTCTGATTCAATTTACCAGTTACTGATGATTGTTTTTTTCTGTACCATATTCTCTCTCCACCAAATGAGTCCACTTTGATTCTGTACGTACAACTTTTTAAAAGCACCTATTTCTTGCTGTAGCTGTATTCATATTCATTCACACAAGATCATAATTCAAATGTTCTGCTGGAGCCTGTCCTTGTGGTTCCTACAGCCCTTTATGATGTTATCACTGTTATGCTGTTGTAGTTTGCAACCACTTCCTATAGATTTATTAGACTAACAATGAAATAGCAAAAAAATAAAAATCATAGCTTCTTTCAGAGCTGTGGTCTCCTGGTCTGGTTGGTTAATAAGCTCTCATCTGACCAAAGCTGGACAATCACCAGCATTACTTTCATAAGGAGAAAAGCACTACATTGACCTCTTTTCAGGATTAATGCATTATTTTTGGCAGCACGAGGAAAAGGCTAACTGTGAACACGTCTTCACAACCTTGAACTGGCCCAACCTAAGGGAGACTGCCAGGTCTAATTTGTTTGCAATTTACTGAACATTTACTAATAGCCGGCTCCAAACCAACTGACAGCATGTCAACACCGTCATGGGTGTGGCTGCATTTTGTTTAAACTGATGGCCAGATAGTCAAGGGTGAACTTAGCCGACAGCCATTTGCATATGAAAGCCTAAACATCCAACATGGCACATCATTGTCTAAAAACTGTAGGTTAAGTAGTCTGCTTTATATTCCTCAATAGTTCTGGTGCTGAGATCCAACCAATCGATTTGATAAAAAAAAGGTACATTTTCAGTCAACCTTGATTTTCTTCGATAAACCAAACAATAAATATCAACAACGTACATTTATGAAAATAGAAAGTCTTGCTACAATGCTACTTTAGTATCAGAAATGCCTAAAACCATGCCCATGCCATCTACACAGATAGTGTCCCTACATGTTGTGGGATGTTGCCTCTCAGTCTTTGGCATTACCTACAAATGACAGACAGGTTTGTGATCGCAATACTTACTACACATTACAATCACAAACCTGCACCCTTCGTGTATCTACCCTGCTACAGATACACTTCCACTCACCTCCATGGGGTAGATGGCAGTTTGAGCTGTGGCTCCAGCCAGCGATCCTGCCATGAACCTCTCGTGGGGTTTGACCTTCCCTGGTTCACTGGCCAGCAGCTTCTTATACTGATGAAACAGTGACACAGGAGCAAGAAGAACTCATTCAGGGTCATCCAACAGTGACAGTGAGACTGTTGGTGTGAGTAGTTGTCAACTCTGGCTGAAACTCCACCTTGACACTGAATCTTACTTATCTTTGAGAATCCAACAGTGACATGCTGAGGATGACACAACATATGAATGTTTCAAGCACCAAACTCATATGCTAGCATCTGTTCAGAGAGGGTGAAAAGTGTTTACCTGCTCATAAGCCATGAATTTAATGGCTGTTTCGGGGGCGATCTTCAGGACGTTAATACCATTTCCTCTCCACAAAGACGTCGCCCCTCCTTCTTTTAGCATTTGCTTAAAACCTCCAGCAAGGCTGATTTTATTGCTCTTAGAAGCATGAACCTATAAATAAGAAAACAAACAAAAAAATCCAGAGACTATGATTAACAACCAAAACTAACAAGAGAAGAGTTTCATTCTAAACTAATTCTGTGCCATTCCAGCTGACTCAAGCTCACTTCTCTCCATATTATAATACATATACCACAACTAATTTGTGAATCTGATCCCTGGAACCACTGAACATGTGATTAAAAATCTAATTTATGAAGACAGACAGCAATGTAACAGATACTTGATAAAGCACAGAGAACAAATGTTGACCCACCTGCATGAAGACCTTCATTCGGTCCAGAGGGGCGGTTCCTGTACGAGACACAGCGCCCGCCATGGCTCCTGCTGACAGCTGCTTCCACCACATACCAGTCGTCTTCTCTTCCTCTGTGAACTCATCTGGGATGGTGAGGCTGTCACCAATGTCCAAAACCTAGACACAATACAAAACAGTCAAGAAGATCATCAACAAGAAGGAACCATACAGCAGTTCTTAAAATAATCAAGTTGCCAGTGAACCTCTGAGGGCTAACCCTGTTTCTGTCATTAGAGCTTTTAATGTTTTTAAAATGTAATTAACCCAATGGACTGTGTTTAAGATTAGCTTTAAATTAGCACAGCTTGAAGATCACACATCATTCACAGCTTCACCTTGCACTTAATGCCTGCCAGAATGGGACACACGCCACGTCCTTATTCAAAATCTTGCGTAACTACAGATCCGCACTGTAAGATCGATTACATCATTTCACAGCACTGGTATAAAACTGTACTCTCAGTTTAAAGTCCCTCTCTGGTCATTGATTAACCACCCAAAAAATCCATCTCTGTGCACCAAAGTTATTAAAAAGTTTTTGGTCCCCCCCCCCCCGAATAAAAGCCCGTTCCTGCTTTAAAACAGCTTAGATGGAACTCCATACTGTTGCCTCTTTGAGAATGTCCCTCTCTCTCCTCTCTTACCTTTGCACTCACTGCAACTCAGCACAGCAGCTCACCTCATGTCTCTTGTCAAACACTACAAAACTGTTGTAAGTTGTAGTTGTAAGTTAATATTGTAAGTTGTAATATTGGAGTGATTGAACCATACATGTTCCACCACTTCTGAAGAAGACTGATACAGAAAGCATCATCCTGTAAGCTGACAGGATTGATTGTTTTAACCCTACTTTGGATGAAACCCCAGAGGTCTGAATGCATATTTTTTGTGTTTATGTTTGTGGCATCTGCAGCAATTTTGTTTCAACAGCTCAGTCTAAAAAATGTGCAGACAAATCCTGTCATGTTAAGGCCTGTAGTGACATTGAGGATTCATTTACAGTTCCAGTAACATATCGTCTTGTCAAATCTAGCCTTCTGTTACAGTCTTTCCTTTCAAATACACAATAACATCTTGACAAGAGCATCAGGATGCAGAATAGCAGCACCCAGTACAGATGGGAAACATCTGCTGCAACTTGTGGAAAAAAAAAAAAAAACACACCAAGACTTGAAGGGACACATTTAGTGTTTGAATAGGAATAAGGAAAAGTTACAACAACCACCAAAACCCAACCAAAAATCTGAGAACCAACAAAAGCTTGTCTAAGCAACTCAACGACAGGCTTCCTGATCTGTACACAGAATTCAAGGTGAATTAAGCGTTCCTTTTTTCCCCAACTTCATATTAAAACTGTTGTAAAAATATCCTGAAATGTTCCCATTATTATTTTTGAACCATTACAACTGCATTGCTAGCACTGCTCGACACACAACAAGCCCAAAGACTAACATTAGCTCGTCTAGGCTAATGTAGCATTAACTCATAACCTGAGCTGGGTATGATGTTGTGCACGTGTTTATGTGTATCAATACACTGCATGTGCAGCACAGTTTTTACTAAACAGGAGTTTAGACTAAAATATATCCATTTCATTGATGTTTTACATTAGTATTGAATTTGATATTGAGAATTCAACAGTGTCTTTTATCTCTACACAGGACAATATAAATATCAACACAGCCTAAAATCTTATTTGCCTTCCTTTTTGTGTTTTATATCCTGCATTAAAACTTGCAGAGATACTTTCTTTGTCATCTTATATTCTTTTTAAAAAAAATTTAGACTGAGAGATGCGTTGCTTTAATTCTAAAGTGATTTTTGTAGGTGTTTCAAGGATTGTACACAATTGCATTTAGTGGGAAATGGAATATTTTGTCATCCCTGAAACATTCGTGGGAATAGAGAGACATTATATTCTTTTACAATATAGTCATTATAAGCTTTTGTATTAGAAAAAATTGAATTGCTTCAGCATTCATACTATTGTTTCCTTGCTTTGTAAATGTTCTTATAGAGAGTTTTTCAAAAACTAAACTGATGCTAGATGTTGCCTCATACCATTATTTACATGTCAGCTTTTACAAAAAGTCTGGAAACAATATAGAGGCCAATATTCTTTTTCTTTACATGACATTTCTTAGTGTTAGAATAATTGTGGCCAAGATATCTACCAGGAAACCTCCAGTGAAAACTACTTAGTGTGATCTATGGTACACAAAATGCCAATACGTTCACCAATATCTATATACAGTATTTATGATAAACTAAAATAAAGACACTTTAACAAGGCTTTCATTTATGATCAGATGAAAACCTAAGCTCAAAGTCTGAATACAAGAACCTACCATGTCCACCTCCACCTCATAGATCCCCCCATCGTCCTCAAACTCGAGGAAAAACCAGTTTCTGTGTTGCTGCTGCTGCTGCTGAGGCTGCAGCAGAGCCATGGCCATGTCAGACCTTTGATAAAGCTTCTGATCCAGTCAAGCGTAGTCCAACTATCATGCAAGCTCAGTCCTAAACTGAAGCTCGCAGACAGATCAGGATCCTTCACAAGATTCTAGTAAAGGGTCCAGATAGGTGTTGAGGGCCTGCAGAGCCAAACGCTGAATACAGTTGTCACCAGTAACCATCGACTTGAAAACTGGAAATGATGGGAGGTTCTCACTGCCATCCAAACAACACCTTCAGTCTCGCCTTGCACTTGTCCTGTTCTCGACTCCCTTCCCCTCACCTCATCCTGTTCCAACCCTACTGACGAGCTAATCCGCCTGCAGGTCACACTGAAATTAGCTTATCTCTACAGAGCTTAGAAACCACAGGTTAATATAACCTGCGAGGCTGTGCCAGTGAACAGAGGCAGCAAACGTCAGAGATTAGCCATTGACTGTAACTGGCTCTATACGTCTGTGTGTTCAACAAGCAGAAATTTGGCGCTGAACTTGATCAATTTATAGACCAGGCCAAGAAAGACTGTAGTCTGTGTTGGCAAATAGCGTTTCCGTGTTATTTTTAGGCACCCTTTTCTATATAATAAAAAATCACCATTAACAAGTCACACCAAGCTTCTTTTCTAATGTCACCTTCCACATATTCACAGGACAGTGTCGACCACATTCAAAAATCATAAACTCTTCGCTCTGCTCCTCTCATCATGCTCCCCCTCCAGCTCCTCCTCCCTCCTGTTCAGACCTCTCCTCTAGCATTGAATGAATCTAATTTACTGACGTAGAGGCGCTGATCTGTTGCTAAAGCTCTGGTCCAAATCCAGCATCAGTTGACAAGTGTCTTTCATGACTTTCCCCTTTAGTGCTATGGATCTAAAGGTGAGGTCTTGGATAGTCAAAGGGCTTTGACGGCACAGGCTGCTAGACAGTTAACCGTTTAACCTCCATGTCTTCCATTTTAGTTAAATTTTTAAATTAGTGGTTTATTTTTTTTGTCTCCTTAGCACATTTTATTTTCATTTTCTGGCCTGTGTTAATTGTAGAGGATATGTGATTGCAAAATTACTTTTTGGAGATACTTTGGTTATGCTTTTGTCTCTAAAAACACCTGTTACTGGCTCCACCTATTCATGGTAACCTCATTCACTAAGCAGCAACCTCTGGGGATGTACAATGGCTGCAGTTCCTCAAATGGCCACTTGAGGCTAAGAGTGGGTCAGTCCTTACAGACCTCCATGGTAGAATGCCCAACTTTACAGCAGAAATTAACATGTTTACAGTCAGATACATAAATCAGTTTTGGGCTCTAAAGGTAATGACGTGGTTCATGACAACTGCATGCAGTGTGAATTTGGCTATAGCTAATCAATTTCAAGTGTATAAAGGCTTAAAGTTATGTATAATTAAGTGACAGGTGGGTACCACTACTGGGTAATCCATGGCCAATGGATATTTGTTTGGCTCTACTCACACTGAAACTGAACATTAGACTGAAACTAATATTATTTACTATATACAAAGTTGAAACATGTATTTTTTAGGTTGTTGTTGTTTTTTGACTAATTAAAATAAATCCATCATCATGGTCTCTGTTTTCTCCCTCACACACAAACACTACCATATGAACACTTGTACTGTGTAGTTAATAAATAATGCCCTCTTCTTACCGTGGAGTGCTTCCAGTAGCGGATAATCTCCTGCAGGTTGGTGACTGTGTTTAACAGGAAATGCTCCCTCCATTCATTCCAGTCCACGGTCATGGTGCCGTCCACATCGATACTATAGGAGAAACAGACATATTTATAATCTCGACCTAAAGTACAACTAAAGCTCAAGTAACTGGGCACACTAGTTGGTTCACTTGGGTGAGAAATAAGTTACATTTTTGCAGTAAATGGGCTTAATAAATTTAATTTATCCACTAACACAGATTATAGAAGTTTTGCTGCCCCACGTTTACCTGTTTCGCAATCCCTTCTAAATATGTTTGGCCATTTCTGCTTTTATTATTAGATAAAGAAGACTGAGGGAAGAAAGAGATGTGGGATGACATGAAATGATGACCCTCAAAGGTCAGTGCCTCTGAGCAGGATCCCTTTGGCCACCAGGAGGAATGTTTCAGTAGAAACATTACCTGAATCACAATTAAAAATGAGAAGAGCTGCAACAGCCAGCGATGCTAATCATAGATGAAACCAACAAATCAGCCCACGGTTGTATTTTTCATTGGGACAAACATGTGAGAACAAGAAAGATAAAACGTCATTTTCATTACATGTTTCAAGATAAAAGTGACTGTTTATCGTTAATTTATCTTCTGAGTTTCAGACTATATCATCAAACCTTCAATCGAAGCACATGCACGAGTGAAACAATGTAAATTCTCTCTTCCAAATCTCCTTCACTTTCTCAAAGGACTTTCTTCTCTATTGCACAGTCAAACATAGAAAGAAAGATGGGCCCAAAG